AGTGCTACAGCAAGAGATGCCGGGTAAAGTGGGTAATATTAATTAGGATATAAGTCCGCCGTCGTTGAATTATATGATTCCGAGTGGCCTATAATTGCCTTTTCTTCCGAACAGAGGCGTAGTTGAATTAATTAAATTATCTTTAAATTAAAGTTTAGAGAGAGAGCGTTCTTCATACAAAGTAATTCCTCGCATTATAAAATAGACATGTAGCTGCAATTTTATCACATTTTTTGCTAAATAAATTAATTACAGTATCGTGCTCTGTGACTATAAAATATTCCCTGTCCTTCTATTCAAATACGCGCACGTAATTACATGTGTGATGTAATTTTCTTTACTTTAAATATTATTTTAAAAATTGTATAACTTTATATAAATTTAATCGCGCAAACCAATAAATTTTTTAAATATTAAAACTGTTGAAATTGTGTGTTCTAAGCAATAAAATTTTTTATTCGTTAATTTTTTTAACAAATGTATTTAATAAAAAATAATTATCAAGGAAAATGTACTTTCTAGATATAACTTTTTAAAAATATGATAAATACAAACTTATAGTTTTTATATAAATAAATTAATAAAACTATACATTTTAAACGTAATGTTAAAATATTTTATATTTATATCTTTATACAAAAATAATTATTATAAATATTTTACTATATATTAAACTAAATTTTAAAATAAAAAAGTTTTAATATTTAATATATTCGCTACGTACAATAATTTGATTTAAACCGGCATAGATAGATAAATTAAGTATAAACTATTTTCTCATTCTATATATGTATATGTGTATGTGATTCATCATCGGACGACATCTTTCTACGCTTTTTCTGCTCTCTTAATTCTTTGCTACTTCACGACACTCACATAACATTGACTCGCGAAAACACGTTTAATTACTTAATCGATAGAATATAATGATTGTGCGACAAATTGCACGTCACTGTCGACGTTAATCGCACACATGACGCGCACTTTATTTTATATTGCAATGAGAAAACGTGAAAATCAACAATTACATGAAGCTATGATCTGCTTCATATTGGAAAATCGCGTGATTTTTACACATGTTGCTGCTAATACATTCTGATTTCTAAATATCATTCGCATTACAACACAAATCTGAACAATTAATATGAGTAAATTTAAGTCAATAAAAATAAATTAATCGTCGAATGTAAAATTTTCGAAAATATATTTGTTTCATCGTCTGCGCGATAAATTTTGATCGTATAAATGACATAGAACACGTATTTATAAAAGAATCTCAATCACCGATGTATGCTAAATATTTGCTATACGTTATTGATCTATATTAAAGCAAATATTTATACAATTATCAACATTAATTAAATAAAATTACGATATTATGTGAATCGAATAAACAGTTAATTAAATCGCGACATACGTAAAATATATAAAATACAATCGAACTTCAGTATTTACGTGAAATATAATATTTACAAGACATATAAATCACGCGAAATATTGCATGTTCCTCGAAACAATTATCATCGTAAATATCAGAATAAAACAATAAATAATTAATAATTGCTATCTTTTATCGCTACGATTTCTATTTTATAAATTCATCACGCAAAATATATATGTACTTTGATAGGCATCGCCGCGATATCATTACATCTCGTTTATGACGGAAATTAATTATTTATGGTCCGATACTCGCTAAGTATAATGTTCGTAGCGAATCGCAACATTTAGCGTCTCTAGTATTTCTCTCGATCCTAATTCTCGAATACTGAGACGACATAAGATGTCTGTTTATACACAAAGAGAATTTACCCTGAAAATCGCATAATAATCATATATTGGAAGATTTTTATAAGAGTTTCTCTAATTAATATTCATCACAATAAAAATATTAATTTTCTACCACAATAAGATACCTATAAAAATATACGTTCGATTAATTTTACTATGTCTATACACTGAAAAATATGACTAAATCAATAAATATTTATTTATTTTGAAACGGATTTTCTTATATCAAATAAATATTATTTACAACAAATCAATACTATTAAAGTTTCAAATAAATGATTTATTTGGCAGTATTAAAATAATAAGTACTTATTCGAATTCAATAAATTTTTTTTCAGTGTAATAAAATTTACTACCACGATTATCATGATTTTCAGAGTAAATTTTAAGAGAAAATTCTCTCCGTGTACATTCCAGTCTCACCGTGTGAATTATAAAAAAACCATAATTATAATGACATGTTGCAATGGGCGTTCGTGATACATATAGTAAAATATTATTATAAATATGTATATCCGATCGATTTATTGTCATTCTTATTGTCACTATTCGAGAAATACTAGAAGACGCCAAACTTTCATTTGCCACGATCATTATAATTACAGCGATTATCGGACCGTGAATCATTAACTTCTGCCGTAAACGACACGTAATAATATCACGATGATATCGAAGTAAATATTTCGCACGATTGATTCATAAAATAGAAATCGAAGCGATAAAGGATGACATATCATTGATTTATTCTGAGATATTGATAGTGGTAATTATTTTGAAGAGCATACAATATTTTGCGCGTATATTTACATTTATAATTATATATTTATTATTATTATTATTTATAAGAAATTATATAAATTATAATAATTTAATAATATTTATTATTATAATCATAAATATATTTTATGTAGTAAGTATAATAGTAACTTTGATACATAACTGTCGGCTTTTGATATATAGCGCATAATTATTTTATATCTGAATATTTTGTTTATACGGTGAGAGATTCGAATGTTAAAGCAGCGGCGTGTGATCTCAACAATCTATATAAGATTATATAAGATTGTAATCGAGAGAAATATTAGAATATGCCAAACTATAATTCGTTATGTTTATTAGCGATTATCGGACCGTGAATAATTAATTTCTGTTATAAACGACATGTAATAATATCGCGACGATACGTGTCGAAGTAAATATTTCGCGCGATTGAGTCACCTAAAGTAGAAATCGAAGCGATAAAAGATGACACATATAAATTATTGTTTTATTCTGATTTATGCGCACGCGATATATTAACATTTTTTTAATTCTTAGATTCAAATATATTTCACATCGCGCTAAAACTTTATAGTTGATTTAAATATAATTTTCTCCTTCAAATTAAAAAAATATGAAGCGGTATGCAAATCGTCAGAGCGAATAATTTTTTAATAATAGAAAACTAATGTATTAATATTATATATTAATAATATTTTCGTTTAGTCAAATAATTTTTACTTTAAATACAATATTGCACGTATGAATTATAATAAACCATATTTTTTGATTCACATAATATCACGAGAAATAAAGTTGTCAATGTCATTTTTTTATAAATAAAACATCACGAATAAAAAATCAATTACTTAATAAATCCGTGACATTTAACTAATAAAAACAATCGTTTTGATATATATATAATTACGTTCTTCAATATTCATTAATCACGTAACGAATATTCAACATTTGTACATTGTTGATCAATTAAAATATGAGTTCTATATAATTTATTCGATCAAAATTTATCATGCAGATAATCGTACAATACATTTATATTTTCTGATAATATTATATATTCTGCGAATATTTATTTTTAACTCATACATTTATTCATATTTGTGTTACAATATAGTAGTCGTTTTAAAACGAGAATATATGTGTATATATATATATATATTTCGTTAGTGACATTTACGTGTGAATTTATTCGTGCAATTTTCCGATATGAAGCGTATCATAGCTTCGTGCAACTGTGATTTTCGCGTTTTTCCATCGCGATAAAATATAAAATGCGCGTCGCGTGTGCAATTAATGTCGGGAGTGCCGTGTAAAGTGTCGCGAGATTATCGTGTTCCGTTGATTATACGAATAATCGTAATTAAATGTGTTTTCACGAATGAGTATTGTGTAAGTGCTATAAAGAAACGACAAAAAACCAAGAATAGAAGAGAAAGCGATCCGGAAAGACATAAAACGACAGCAGAGCAATCGTGGGTTGTAAGTAATTTCTAATTAATTTTTTTATTACTTGTTAAAATTAATTACTTGTTTAAGCACGTGATAGTGATCTAATTAAAGTTATTGTGTAATATAATGCAGAACAACACGAAGTACTTACAAAATATATATTATACATATCTATAATAAAATGTTTAAAACTTAAAGTACTTAACAATTAATGCTTTACATAAATATATTTCATATAATAATACATTTTAAATACCTCAAAATTTTTCTAAGATTTTTCAATATTTAGTTATTTAATACTAAAAATTAGGAATCTATATTTATAACATTTTTAACAAAAATTATATCTAGAAAAAAGTTTTTGGGAGGACTATATAATTTTTTACTATACTTATATTAGATAACCAAAGTGCGCACAATTTCTCAATTTTATATTAACTTTTAATAGTTTAGAATTTGCCAAAAATACATTTTTCCTTACAATAGTATTATTTTCCTAATATTAGTTTTATTTTTCAAAATAGTTTTGTTTTTCCTAATATTATTTTTATTTTTCTTGATATCAGTATTATTTTTCCTAATATTAGTATTATTTTTCCTCAGGTTAGTTTTATTTTTCCTAATATTAGTTTTTAATATTAGTTAATTGAAAAAAAGAGAAGTCACTGCAATAATTCCCTCCCCGAAAATAAAAAAAATTAGACATAGGCAAAAATTAATTAAAAGTGATACATGAACTTGATTGTTCGGAAAATAATGAACAAAATTAATCAGTTGCTAAAATTAATCTAACTTTTTTTATCATTTATCATAAGCGTTAAATTTTTGTAAATTAAAATTCTGTATTGATTAATAACCTTTGCAATTTCTAAATTACAAATATGTACTATATAAACGCAATATAATTTTTTATTATATACCTAAAAATAAAAGTCAATCATTATTTTCCGAACAATGTAACAAACAAAAAATAAACTCACATTGCGTTGAGTCGACTATCTAAACCTGTCTGCTTTAATAGTATATCCGCTTTAATGACCCGCAGCTCTGCTATAATCCCATATGATTTGGCACTGATCATTGCACTGTTTTTTCTATTATTTTATATTTGTAATAATTATTTATCGTACTTCACCACACACAGATGCACTTCGAAATGAACGGACGATACGAAAAAATAAGATCACTCGCGAATGCATTCGGCACTTTCGATTCCGCTCGATCACGTTCAATATCACATTCGCGAATAAAAACACGAACAAAATATCTGTTGAAAAAATATACTTTTCCAATTCCGGGAAAGCGAGCGTCCGAATATTAATTATATTAAACGCATCGAAATAACCTTAAATTAATTTGTGACATCTATTGAAGTCTATGGCGACATCTCCCGGCACGCCCTTCCTTTCCTTCCCCTCTCCCGCTTCCCCGATCAATTCGCGATCCTCCGAGACTTCCGGTCGAGACTCCCCGTCGACGCCCAGATGCACTTCGAAAAGATTATTCGATCCATCGCGTTGAAACACGACACTCCCGGATTGCACTCCCGTTTACTCGCGTTACTCGCGCACGAAATCCAGACGAAAATCGCGGATACTTATTCGTACGCGAATAAAACCGACGCTCCGTTTTCAGCGTCGCCGCTTTTTTCAAGGCCAATTATTTGCGGGCCTCATCAAACGATAATGGCGACTTCCCCGCGACGCACTCAGAAGTCGCCGATATTCCAGAATTGGGCATTACACGGCGTTCGCGATGTACGCGGAAAGCGAGAACTCGACAACCGACAACCTACGCACTGCACGTCCGACGCGAGACTAGTTCCAAGGTGACCCTCACGCCGGCGCACGCTACGCGTCTAGCGGGAGACTGATCCCAATAGCCAATCGCGAGGCTCGATACGTACGGAGTCTCGCGATTGGTGCGCCGTAGGGTGCTCCTATCCGTATATAAGAGCTGCGTTGAACGACAGGCCGGACAGATGCTTCTCGATGTTCTGCGTAGGTGGTCGGCGGATAATGCTCCTATTCGTCATGTTTGGTCATGGAAAAGGCTAAGAGAGAAAGGAAAAAACATTCAACCAGTCTTGCGCTCAAAAAAGATTGATAAGAAATCTTAATTATGGATTGGAGATAATTATAAATGGCCCTTTTTAGGGCCTCTAATTTCCAACGGAGGACGTCATTTGTTCGCAATTCTTTTCCTTTATATGATATTTTTCTGTATGCAATTACATATAAATAAAAAATACAGATGATTGAATTGTATTATTTAAAACCAACGATTCTAAAACTAATTATTCAAAACAGAAATACTTATTGATTCTATTTCAATCAATAAATATATCAAAAAGCTGAATTTGTGAAAAATTTATGTGTGTACATTTTGATTTAATATAATAGCTACATGTTATGTAATTAGATGTATAAAAATCTATATATTTTTATATAGCGAGATATTTATACATATGTAAAATTAAGAAGTATTTTTTTAAATTATTTTTAGGGTCGTTTGTTTTAAATGATAGATGTCAATCATATGGTTATAAGATTATATAATTATTTTAAAAGAAACACATGAACTTTTGAAAAATGCATGTGTACATTTTCATTTAATATAATTGCTATATGTATAATTAATTGTGTAAAATCTATATATTTTTATATAGCAAGATATATATAGAATCAATAAGTATTTTTTGAATAATTAATTTTAGGATCATTTGTTTTAAATAAGAGAATTCAATCATATTTTCTTTTTATATGTAATTGTATAAAGAAAAAGAATATATAAAGGAAAAGAATTGCAAACAAATGACGTCCTCCGTTGGAAATTAGTGGCTCTAAAAAGGGCCGTTACAATTATCGTCAATCCATAGTTAAGATTTCTTATCAATCTTTGGTGGTAAGACGGGTTGAATGTCTTTTCCTTTCTCTTAACCTTTTCGTTTTTTCTACGACCAGACATGACGAATAGAAGATTTGCGGTTATCGAACGAGAGATCCTTTATCGATATGACCAACACGATGCGCACGACGCTCCAATATATTCTGTGAAGCACGCAAGCTTCGCCACGCTATTTATACTAAGTTGCGGGTACCTCGAGCGGCCAATCAGGTGCCGCGGCGTGGTTATACAGCACGCCATTGGTCTGCTCAAGGTACCGCTACTTAGTATAAATAGCGTGGCGAAGCTTGCGTGCTTCACAGAACGTATTGGAGCGTCGTATCCATCGCGTCGATCACATCGATAAAGGATCTCTCGTTCGACAACCGCAAATCTTCTATTCGTCATGTCTGGTCATAGAAAAAGCGAAAAGGCTAAGAGAAAGGAAAAAACATTCAACTGGTCTTGCTACCAAAGAAGATCGATAAGAAATCTTAACTATGGATTGACGATAATTAGAACGGCTCTTTTTAGGGCCACTAATTTCCAACGGAGGATGTTATTCGTTCGCAATTTTTTTCCTTTTTACAATTATATAAATAGAAAATACAGATGATTGAATTCTATTATTTAAAACAAACGATCCTAAAACTAATTATTCAAAAAAATATTTATTGATTCTATATGTATAAATATCTTGCTATATAAAAATATATAGATTTTGTACATTTAATTATACATACAGCTATTATATTAAACCAAAATTTACACACATAAATTTTTGAAGAAAATGTGTGAAATAATTATATAATCAATCATATGATTGAATTCTATTATTTAAAACAAACGATCCTAAAACTAATTATTAAGAAAACAAATACTTATTGATAATCTTAACTATTTTATTTAAATACTTATTGATTTTATATACCTACATATAAATATCTTTCTATATTAAAATATATAGATTTTATACATTAATTATACATATAGCTATTATATTAAATCAAAATGTACACACATGAATTTTGTTCAAAAATTAATATAATAGAGATTCAATATAATAGTTACATGTATAATTAAATGTATAAAATCTATATATTTTAATACAGCAAGATATTTAAATATATAGAATCAATAAGTATTTTTGTTTTGAATAATTAGTTTTAGAATCGTTGGTTTTAAATAATACAATTCAATCATCTGTATTTTCTATTTATATGTAATTGCATACAGAAAAATATCATATAAAGGAAAAGAATTGCGAACGAATGACGTCCTCCGTTGGAAATTAGAGGCCCTAAAAAGGGCCATTTATAATTATCTCCAATCCATAATTAAAATTTCTTATCAATCTTTTTTGAGCGCAAGACTGGTTGAATGTTTTTTTCCTTTCTCTCTTAGCCTTTTCCATAACCAAACATGACGAATAGGAGCATTATCCGCCGACCACCTACGCGGAATATCGAGAAGCATCTGTCTGGCCTGTCGTTCAACGCAGCTCTTATATACGGATAGGAGCACCCTACGGCGCACCAATCGCGAGACTCCGTACGTATCGAGCCTCGCGATTGGCTATTGGGATCAGTCTCCCGCTAGACGCGTAGCGTGCGCCGGCGTGCGGGTCACCTTGGAACTAGTCTCGCGTCGGACGTGCAGTGCGTAGGTTGTCGGTTGTCGGGTTCTCGCTTTCCGCGTACGTCGCGAACGCCGTGTAATGCCCAATTCTGGAATATCGGCGACTTCTGAGTGCGTCGCGGGGAAGTCGCCATTATCGTTTGATGAGGCCCGCAAATAATTGGCCTTGAAAAAAGCGGCGACGCTGAAAACGGAGCGTCGGTTTTATTCGCGTACGAATAAGCATCCGCGATTTTCGTCTGGATTTCGTGCGCGAGTAACGCGAGTAAACGGGAGTGCAATCCAGGAGTGTCGTGTTTCAACGCGATGGATCGAATAATTTTTTCGAAGTGCATCTGGACGTCGACGGGGAGTCTCGACCGGAAGTCTCGGAGGATCGCGAATTGATCGGGGAAGCGGGAGAGGGGAAGGAAAGGAAGGGCGTGCCGGGAGATGTCGCCATAGACTTCAATAGATGTCACAAATTAATTTAAGGTTATTTCGATGCGTTTAATATAATTAATATTCGGACGCTCGCTTTCCCGGAATTGGAAAAGTATATTTTTTCAACAGATATTTTGTTCGTGTTTTTATTCGCGAATGTGATATTGAACGTGATCGAGCGGAATCGAAAGTGCCGAATGCATTCGCGAGTGATCTTATTTTTTCGTATCGTCCGTTCATTTCGAAGTGCATCTGTGTGTAGTGAAGTACGGTAAATAATTATTACAAATATAAAATAATAGAAAAGACAGTGCAGTGATCAGTGCCAAATCATATGGGATTATAGCAGAGCAGCAGTGGAACATTAAAGCGGATATACTATTAAAGCAGACAGGTTATGTAGTCGACTCAACGCAATGTGAGTTTATTTTTTGTTTGTTACATTGTTCGGAAAATAATGATTAACTGTTATTTTTAGGAATATAATAAAAATCTATATTGCATTTATATAGTATATATTTGTTATTTAGAAATGTAACAAATTTTTTGACATATTAAAAAGAAAATTATAAAATTATATATATTACAATAATGTTAATGCTAGAATTGAAATTATTTTGTTAATAATGATTTAAGAAAACATTTAAAATTTAATGCTTACCCTATGATAAATGATAAAAAGTCAGATTACTTGTAGAAACAAATTAATACTGACAACAAATTAATTTTGTTATTTTCCGAACAATCAAGTTCACGTATCACTTTTAATTAATTTTTGTCTATGTCTAATTTTTTTTTATTTTTGGGGAGGGAAGAACCGCAGTGACTTCTCTTTTTTTCAATTAACTAATATTAAAAAACTAATATTAGGAAAAATAAAACTAACCTGAGGAGAAATAATACTAACCTGAGGAAAAATAAAATTAATATTAGGAAAAATGCATTTTTGTTCTAAGTAAATGTAATTTTGTTCAAGTTCTAAAGTATTAAAAATTAATATAAATTTGAGAAATGGCGCACACGTAGCGCGCGCTTTCGTTTTTAATCACATAAATAAAATGTATAAATAACTTACTTTTGAAAAATATATAAAATAACTTACTTTTGATAACATTGAACAAAAGTTTTAAGAAACGCGATAAATGCTGCACCGCTTCCTTCTTATCTATTTTTCGCACACGGTCTTCAATATCTATCTAGAGCAACGAATCAGTTTTATCTAACGAATATCGCAACATGTTTGTAATAATAACGGGTGATAAATATTATTATATACGACATGCAAGGTGTTTCGATAAAAATGGGTATACTCTTGTAGACACGTAGAGTAGATAAAAATAAATCTCATAAGTTCCTATAAATATTTCTTCTATAACGCATCTTTATCAAAATCTTTATCGAATAAAGATTGTCTCTAGATAAAGTTAAAATTTGAAAAATATTTTTCTTAAATAACTCTTATGTCACTCTGCAGATTTTTATAATTTGTAATAATTATTACAATCTACAGAATAATATAAGTTATTTAAGAAAAATGTTTTTCAAATATTAACTTTAAAGACAGATATATTTGTCTATAAATATGCCTTTTTAAAAAAAAAATTTATAGGAATTTATGGAATTGTTTTTACATGTCCTACATGTCCACGAGAGATTGTTCACTTTTATATAGAAACACCCTATATATTTGCGTTTCATATTCGAATTATATGCAAGTACGTTAAGTCTCGCCTATAGTTATAGATACGCTCTACTTAGTGCATAAATGTTTCGACTCATTTAATCGATCACGATAAATAGGACGAGGATTTCTTTATCCTGATTGGTCGATCGAACACTCAAACGAAACATTCATGACCAAGTGGAACGTGCTCTTTGTTCGATACATACATAATATCGTTAATGTCTGATTAGTTCCGGAGTTTGTAGTCGGAATTCAGAATCTCAGAACCGAATCAACGGAATCGAAAGTCGGCATGTTTAGTTAATTTAGTATAGTCAATTTCCCACGTTTGTCTCGCCGCATCGTAGTATCTTATCCGTGTTTGTTGATATTAAGAAAATATGTATAATATTACATAAAAAAGTATGCAAAATTACATAAATAATAAGTGTAAAATGTATACATTTTCATTATTTATCTTATAATTTTACATTCATTATATTATGTAATTTTACATATTTTTATGTAATATATTATATATATATTTTTAGTTTATTTAGGATGCAAACTCGATCGATCGAACGCGAAATAAGCGCGGCAAATGTCAGAAAAGAAGTTTGGAATCGCAAGTCGAAATATTTAAATGCCTGCGATCGTAATTATGTCGTCGTAATTATTTCACGAGTCCTAAGAATTATCGCACTAGCCGAGTTGCAATTTTAGATTAAGTGAGAATAAATATGTAGGTGGGCGAGTAAACACGTATGATAATATGTACATATATACGTGATAGTGATAGTGTCGCGGGAGTGACGGGAAAATCTCTCGGGTGCTTCGTCGTCGCATGTATTAGTGATATTGTTACGTCGACGGCGCCAACATGGTGGGACAATTTCATGGAGTTCGTCAATTTGACGAGACCATAGCGGCCGAGCGTCGTTAAAGTGAGCATTGATGAAATTATCGAGAATAATTATCGCTAGCAAATAAGCGTGCAGTATCGGAGATTGAAGGTATAGAGATAAAGAAGGCGATATATCGCGTCAGTAGTAAAAACATGAGACATTTCCGTCAATTTTGCATTATCGTAATTCAATGCATTTATTGAAATGTATATTAATAAATTGATAGAAGATATAAATATATTTAATATAAAAGTATACCTAATATAAATATTTGATAGTTTATGTTAATTTATTACTTCATTTAATACTTTTAATAATTTAATATACTACATATATTATACTTAATAATATACTGATATGAACATATGCATTACATCACTATATTATTAAATGTAATATGTAGTATATTAAACTATTAAATGAAGTAATAAATTTACATAAACTATTAAATTTATTATACCTTCATATTAAATATATTACATTATATATTCTGATATATGACCAAAGTATTAATATATTATAATAATTATAATATTTAATCTAAGAGTTCTTCCTTTATTTATTATTACATACTCGAAGAGCATAAAACATGTGCGTTTGAAAAAGAAATGGCTGGAAAAAAGATTCCTATGCTGAATATTTAGGACACAGAAATCTTTCAAATTTTATAATGTGTCGCAATCGCGCTCGCTCGCGATTTATTCGGAGGCATTCTTAATCTTGTTTCATCTCTTTCGTTTCTCACCGCGTAAACGGCGAACAATTTGCGAGGGTATCGTTAATCACTCACCTCCGGGCAGGCATTTTTTACAACGAGCGGCACTTAACGCTATACAATTCCCGAAATTGCATCGCTGCACGCGAGAGAGGGGGAGAAAGGCCGATGGTAAACAATCTGATAGCGTCACGGACCCCTCTTTTTACCCTCCAATCTCCCTTTCTTGTTCGTAACCTTGAACACTTTGATGAGTCACAGATCATATTCTACACTCTGCAAAAAAATAAAATTACGTGAACATTGAGTGTAAAATAGTTGAATAAATAATGGAAACACGGAGAGAGTTTTCTTTTAGAATTTATCCTCAAAATCATGGTAATCGTAGGACAATATATAAAAAATATTAATATGTACATAGTAAAATTAATCGAACATATTTATTTATTTCTTTTATTATTTATTTATATTTTATTGGGTAGATATTAATATTTTTATTGCAAATATTAATCAGAGAAACTCTTATATAAATATCATATTGTTCTACGATTACCATAATTTTCAGGGTAAATTCTAAGAGAAAATTCTCTCTGTGTATATGTAAAATTTTCATCATTTATTCTATAATTGTATACTTATGGTGATTTCGCAATATATATTGTTTACAGTGTATAATCTCAGTTTGCGACTAACAATAAACCAATTACGAATAACTGAACAAAAGAAGTATTAATATAATCGAGTAAAAAAGCGGAAAAAAGCAGACGGTCCCCTACATCGATTATCGAAACGTATTTTCGTTCACGCTCCTTCCATATTTTGCAAGTACTTTCTAGTTTTGTTTTCGCAAGCATGTATATGTATACAATAAATACGCAACTCTCCATGACGTTCCGCGAGTTTGCATTCGCAAACAATAGAACCGGTCGTTTCCCGTCTCGTCGCGTGACAAAGGCGCTAAAACTTAATAGCCCCGTCGATTTACGAGAGTTACGAAAGAAACGAAAATTCATTCCGGCGCGGACTCTCGATTTTATCGTAGACGGATTTTGCGTAATCGCGGTCGTTTGTGACGGAACTTTCGCTTCTTGATTTACCTTCGCGCGAGTACAATATTATTCTGCATTACGCGTCTATTCCGAAGAACATATATTCCGAAGAAACAATGACAGACGCAGCTGACCGCGAGCACGTGACAATCAGCTGATCGGGATTTTCTCGCGGCTGTCAGTCGTAGGTTCGTCGACCGCAACGAACAATTTTCAATATTTGACTGACCCATAATCATATATGTCACAAAAATACGCACTTATACAAATACATATTTTTTTGTTTAGATAAAATATTAGAAATGTGGGTTAGCCACACGTGTGCGGTACTTAACCGATGCTAGTCAATTGACTTTGGTACGAAAGTACAAACGACTCACACTCTCTATTATTTTTCCCATGGATGAAGAATCTCTCAATTGAAAAAATACGATATATTTTATAAATTACCAGCATTAACTAGCAGTTTAATTCTGTCGGTTGGCAACAAACATTCTTACTTAGTCTCCGCAGACGCAGCTGAATTTTTTTGAAGCTCGTAGATAATCAAGGACATGAATTATTTTCGAGACAACAAGCGAGAAGCCGGTATAATGGGCCTTAAGTTTGTCGTGTTCGGTGTCTCTTAGCGCGTCCCGAAATTCCGGTGCATTAACGGTGGATCAAGGAATCCGAGGAATAACGGCAACGGGCCGGCGCGAAAAGAGAGAAAGAAAAACGGAGAGAAGGAATTGTAAATATATATGTATAGCTTTCTTTTATTTCGAGATAAAGAAGTCGATAGGGAGAGCGAATTAAGAGCGCGATGTGTGCCGAATGTCGTACATTATTTACGAGCCGGGCCCCGACGCCGCGATTTTACAGAACGGAACGAAACGGCAGCTTCTCTCCGTTTCCTACATTTTAATTGGCCGCGCAATGATAAATCCGTACGTCTCTAATTGAACCTCGAGAGCGAAACGATGCGGCGCGGATATGCGGCGGATAGGATATCAAGTTGTTTTACAAGCAAGTAGTCGGGAGGAAGAAGTCGCCGTCGAAGCGCATCGCGTCGTTATACAACCGCATTATATAGGGTCTAGCGAT